GGAAATGTCCGCGATATACCTTTAAACAACATTAACTCACCATCACCAACAATGAACTCCAAACAACGAATATTTTCAATCGTTAAAAACAATTGTCAGAGCCGTTTCTTTCAGCAGTTTTTTTTAATTGATGTCTGCGAAATAAGGATATCAGATATAGAGGATATAGATTTGTTTCAGGAAAAAGGTAACGTAAACCATTTTATGTTAATAACCACCTCTCCTTCTTCACTGATTGTTGTCAGATCACAATAAAAAGAGTGTCTTTCCAGAAGTTCATGAACTACTTAACACGGATAGTGTCTGGCTCTGTGCTCTGTGATTATTGGTAATAACCAATAACCATGCAACAACATGAGAGGATAAAACATGTACTTCTTCAATTATAATTACATGTTTATGTTTAAAACCGAAGACGTGTACAGACTTTACCGAGAAAAAACTTCTCCCCGGTAACACAGGCAATACGGTGAATTCCTTCTAGACGAGGTTTTCAATAGGCCTACAACAAAATCATAAAACAAAAGACGTTTCACAGGCTAAGTAGCACACTGTGCACTTCAGCAAATAAATAGTTTACCAAGATAACTATTGCTTACCCAGACAGCTGTGTCATTCAAGGAGAAATAGTACAAACTAATGTCACCAAAAATCTAAATTTCATTCTTTATTTTATTTTTTAAGAGAGAAAATTAAAGACAACGAGGCTTTAAATAACCGGTATTATCAATTTGTATTATCAATATTATCAATTGTAGAACAATATTATCAATTGTAGAACAACCTATTTATTTCTCTATTGAATAAATGTAACGGTGGTTACCTCACCACTGTTCAATTTCAAAGTATTACAGAAGTTAATGTTTTTCAAAACGAAAAACAGTCATATTTTCAATGAGTTTAAAAGAGTCAACTCAAAAATCACCGATGTGTAACTTATGTAGATACTCACGATGTATATACAGTAATCAACATTTCCTGTAAATATTTTATGATATTTCATAACTTGGTATTGCTTTTTAATGTATCTACAAATATTTCCTGACTTATAGCCGCATAACGTTGTCCATGTTTATCTTATTTATTGATAAACCTATGCATGATACCACCCTTGTCGCCAGCAGTAAGTTAACAAATTTCAGTAATTCTTTAGTAAAGATAAAAACTTGTTTGATCACCTTAAGGACTTCCTGTTGTCTGTTACAATTTTATTTGTTCAATTGGCGTTTTTTTATTTATTTAGCTAAATAAAACCTTTATTTAATTGAAGTAAACTAATATAGGCCTATTTATATTCACTGTACTCTATTTCAAAAATATATCGATTAATATATCGAGAAACAAACAATTACACGTAATAAAAACCTCGCTAGTCCGCTGCATTGTGATAGCTGAAAATCGACGGAATAAAAACCGCCACTACAAGAAACAGAAGTTGGTACGCCTGCAGCTCCCTCTACAGCTGCGCGCGCTGCTGGCGCTGCCGCTCAACACATCCCCACCTAAAAGACGAGCAAGTTGTAAGTCGGCCGGGTCGATTGCCGAGCAGTTTCTTTCTCGCATATAATAATTTAGTTTTTCAGGCCGGTCAACTGGACTGAGGACGAAATAACTTGTCGACGTACTGGTTTTCAGTATTAATCTATTTATTTAAAAAAAGACGGTCTAGTGGCCAGACGACCAAGTATCTTGTCGGTCAACTGGTGGCCCCCCATCTATATAGGTTTGAATTTTTCAGCATACTAATATTTTATTAACTACGAATCCCGTGCGGCTTAATGTGCCTCACAGTAAGAATCACAGAATTGGTGTGAGGATTCAAATATTGATTCTAGTAAGATTCTAGAGTTATTTGAAAACTTGTTGGAAATTGATTTTAAAAATCTCTAATATGCGCTGTAAAGGTTCACCTACATTTATGCTCTCTGTTTTGTTAGCTTACTGATAATTAGCAGTATTGGGGAAGCTACTTTTAAAATGTAGCTAGCTACAACTACTGCTACATTTCCAAAAAAGTAACTTAGCTACAGCTACAGCTACAGTTCCAAAAAAGTAGCTAGCTACAACTACAGCTACAATGAAATGTAGCTACAGCTACAATTTTAGCTACTTTTCCAAAGACGTTACTTTTTATTCCACGCACATTAGGTAAATCTAAAATTAATTGAAACTACATTTTTATTGAACAAACATAAAAAAAATGTCAGTACTGTATCTACCATTACTAGGAAAACAAATTATTCCTAGATTGTATTTAATTTGTTGGCATTATAAACCTAAAATTACAACAACAGAACCAAATAGTTGGGTGTCCCATCATATTTAGTACTTATTTTTAAATATTGCATTATTTTTAAGCATCTTAGTTGGGTGTCCCATCATATTTAGTACTTATTTTTAAATATTGCATTATTTTAAGCATTTTATATGTAAATTTCATTAAGTTCAAAGGACATACAACAAAACTATATTTTTAAACCCATTTTATTTCTTTAATATAGATTCATTTATAGATGTCTTATATCAACAATTAAGACCAATAAAACTGTAAAACGATTATTTAAAAATACATTTTTGTGTTACATAGCCTAGCCTACTGAAATTGGAGTTTATTGCCTTTCTTTACTTTTAATGTTAAAAATGACATTGCTATAACTTTTAACCATAGTGATAAGTTACTTGTTCTATGAATAACACTTTTCAATGTCAAGAAATCGTCCTTTATTGTCATTATGCATAGGGCAAATTGTGCTTCAACCTAATTGGTACAGAAAACAGTATTCAGCAACTTATCCTGAAATCGGCTTTTGATTTAAACATGTTGAAATTTGTAAAGTAAAAATAACATGTAGGCCTACTTAGCTATGTAACAAGTTGGCTAGGAATAGTCGTATACAAGAGCTCCTATAGCAGGAGTAAACTATGCTAATTTTTCAATCTAAGTTTCATATGGTCTAAGTGGTCATATGGAGATTTTTTCGTTACAATTATCATGTAGGTCTAGGCATATCTTAATTCTCTTCAGGTAATTTCCTCTTTGTTAATTTAGTAAACCTTTGAAAAATCTTCTAATCTGACCAAGGAAGGGCTTGTGATGATGAACCACAATCAACAGCTGAAGCTAGACCAGCTTTCTCATTATTTTAAGGTTTAGTGTTGGTTTCCATTAAAACCCAAGTTGAAACACTATCGATATAATAAAGAAACTAAATTGATTACTAATTTCCCTGTCAATCACTTGCAAGCATTCAATAGCTTCTCTTGTCACCGGTAACGTTTGAAAGTCGTCTGCAACTAGCGATTTTATTTTATCTGACAGTAATCATAGAATAGTAAATTAAGGAAATGAGAGCCAAAAATGTGGATAACACTCATTTAATGGCCTCTATGTCCACACAACGTTGTAATAGGGAATGAAACGGCTGCAACCAGCTATATGAAGCCAAGAAAGTAGGCCTAATTTTTTTTAAATCTCAGTTTGAAAGAGGTTGTTTCACGTAAGGTTGAGGTTATGATAAAAATCACTATCTCAAACAATGTTAATGTAGCGAGAAAAGTAGTTAAAATTCCGCTACAACTACTTTAAAAATGTAGCTAGCTACAGCTAAAGCTACAAAATCTTAAAAGTAGCGTAGCTACAGCTAACGCTACAAAAAAAGCAACGCGCTACTGTGTCGCTACTTGTAGCGCGCTACTTCCCAACACTGATAATTAGGCAATATAAATTACAACAAAATAACATTGATACTACTATTCCAAATAAATAACCTTAACCTTAAGAGTCTTCATCAGTGGTAGCGATATTGAATTTTAGTCCCATGAGAGCAATGTTTAATTTGACAGAACATACCATCATTTGAAGCAGCATGCCGGTGTTATTTATAAAGATATAGTTTTGAAAACTTATAATTAGGTTTATAACATAGAGTAGTGGGGAATGAGGTAATGATATTTGAAATTTTTTTTGTCTTTCATTATTTTGCCTTTCATAAATTATTTAATTAAAGGCTTAATTGATAATCATTAACTTATTAAGCGGAGGAAAAATGACAAAACTAAAATCCTCACTCAATAGAGGACCACTAAACCTGAATTTGAACACGTCAATCATTACTTTATCACAACAGGTTTTTTATAAATTCGGTTAAGAAGTTAACATTGCTCTTATGGGACTAAAATCCAATATGGCTACCACTGATGAAGACTCTTAAATCGAAAAATGTCACCTGTAAACACTTGCATAATATACACTTATTTTAGAGAATTTCCCATATAGGGAATAAGCTTTTACTGTAGGTCTCATGGTAGGACATTTACTTTTTCTTTTTGATGTTCATCGAAGGCCAAAAATACCATCCATTGAAATATATAGGTTTATATATATATATATATTTATATTTATATGTGTCCGTTAGCACAATAAATTGTATAAAAATAGTTAGATTTTGATGATATTTGGTACAAACCCATAAACCTACTAGACGAGTTTGAGAACCAGGATAATCAGACTATGGAAACAGGGATTTTAGGGTAAATACTGGTTTTCCTTGTTTTTGACCCTCAAAAGAAAAAAAAATGCAAGTTCTCTCCCTTTTGTAAAGCTAAAAAAAATCTGCAATGTAATAAATAGGGTATATTGTAGGGTATATTGTAGGGTATATTGTACACCATATGGACACTGAGAAAATATAACAAATACCTCCACCGCAGCAAACCTTAGGTTATTCTTATGGAAAACCTTAAATTTGGTAAACATTTTGCTAAAAAACACACATTTGTAAAATTCTTGTAGTAGCAAACCTAAGTATTTACTACACATAATGGTATTTAAGTTGGGAATAAATCTGACACGTTTTAAGAAATATTTTTGTGAAATTCTGATCAGGCAAATGGAAATGTTCTTAGTCTTTAAGTTTTCTGAGGCGGAGGGTGTCATCAAATTATAACAGGGTACTGTATTCCCAAGTTATGATAACTTTATCATGTTTCTTCTTTTGCAGCCAGGATTTACTCAACGTTTGTCGTGAACTAAATCTTGAAGACTCTTTAGAAGAGTTGATGAAAGAACTCGGAGCTGATGAAAGTGGTAGAATATCCTACAAAGAATTCTTGAGACGCCGCTTAGCATTGCGTCCTGAGATTGAAGCTCTCCGCACGACACCACATCATTCTAGAGGAACACCTGATTACCTGCCTACAAGCAGCGACAACAGTCTTGGTGAGAATGCTGCTCCGGTGGAAGTCGCTATGATTTTTTATGAAGAAAATCACAAAAGTTGCAATAATTTTTAAACAATAATTTTAACAGCAATAGGGGGGTTGACTCTCTGGTTTATAGTTAAAAGGACAATAACAATTACAAAACTAAATTTGAATAGAAATCGGTCAAGCAATTTTTTTTTATCAATTTTCCATTATTTCATGCCTTTTTATCAGAAAATCACACAATTTGCAATAGCTTTTGTGCACTTTTTTGGGTTCAGGGGGACCTAAAATGGATATATCCTCCCAAAAGACCTCACATTTCTTACAGTTTCCATTGTCAGAGATATTTGATAACTAAACTGTTACTTTCATTCGTTGTTTGCAATGTAAGTTTAGAATTATTTTTTTTATGCAGTTATTTTATTTTCCAGGGATATAATAATAGTATTTAGCTTTTTCTTTTTTTCTTCTTGGGTTTTAAACAATTATTTACTTCATCGTAATTTTCTTTCAATTCATCCTCCAATTCCAATTCATGATGAGATTTAGCAATTTTTTTTTCATGCAATGCTTGTTTCAATTCTTCATTTTCAACATTTTCACACAGAATCACACTCCCTATTTCAGTGGCCAAATTAAGAGAATCGTCGTCTGCATGATTATTTAGGCAAGTAGGACACTGCCACAGGGGTTGTTCTTTTAATGGAAAATTTATTATCTCATGTTAGGTTTACACATTTTAAGTGATTCAATTTTTTACAGAGTCCATTGCATTAAAAGCAACAGAGTTTAAATTTTTTCCCCAAACACCACAAGGATGTTTACTATTTTTATTCATCTTACACCTATTAGTCAAAATACAAAATTTACCCTTTGAGTGCTAGGCCAATAATTTGTATTTTGTAAGACTTTTGTTTGCCTTTTGATTCCATTACCTGTTGTTTAATTTTAACTGTATTTTTTTCACTATTTTATTAATCAGGCTAATTTGGAATAATAAGATAATAACAAATATTATAACAAGAAAAGTCACTAAGTACACTAAATAAAACTGTTTTTTTGTTGTAAATTTACGAGTTTTCTTATAAATTGTAATGTTCTGATAACATTACCTATTTGAAACCAAAATCTCATTAAATCGAAAGGCATCTTGTTTACAATTTAATATAGAATTTAACCTCGATGAAGTTTAGTAAGAATATTATAATAGAGTCTTCTTAGGTAAAAAATCTGTTTGTCAGTAAAGCCTCAGTAACACCATTTATGATCACTATTGTGGTTCAGCCCATCTAAATAGTCTGTGAATAACTTTTGCTGCTACCTAGTAACATATTAAACAACTAAGTTTTAGCGCCATCTGTTAGAAATTGTTGACGTCAACTTAAATGCAAGTTTTTACTCCATATTCTCCAAGCACAGATAGCCGAGAAGGCTAGGGTGTCTGTCACTTGGCCAGTGGCATTCGTTTGTTCGGGTTCGATTCCCGTCCTGGCAAATAATTGGTAACCTGTGTGTTTGTAGCAATATACTACAACCACTGGGGCATAGTGAGGTGTTCATAATCCTTGGTTTAGATATACACTTCGAATCATCGGATTAGGCGAATCTTTTAGCTAAGTGGTTGTTAGTGTATCCTATGAAAATGCAGGTCACCAATGGCCGTTTTGCTACTTTTTGTTAAAATAACCTTCCTCTCTATATCCCTTAGAGATTTTAGTAAACAACGATATGTCGTTGCGTAGCACTCAAAGGGTTAAATGACTTGCTTTCTGAATAAATATATAAAACATAAATAAAGTTTGATTTACATGTTAGTACATCATGTACAATAACAGGCTATATTGTAAATGATTAAATCTAAGACTTAAAACTAATAGATAAAACTATTAAATCAGTTTTTACAAAAAAAAAAAAACTGAATCTTCCAGAAATATTTGAGACAGGACAAAAATTGAGCTGGAAAAAACTGCTGGTAGGTTTATTCATACCTAACTCCAGCAGTCCTCCAAATACTCTGCCAATGAAAACAAAAAGATTTAGTCTTGATCCAATTTTTTTCACTTTTTTTCAGAAAGTCTACTTTTATGTTTTTAATTTCATGAATCATTTGTGATATTTTGCGAATCTTTAATAATTTACTTTTCTCTATTGTTTAGGTGAAGTGGTAGAATAATATGGCTATGGTAGATGTGTAATACTATAGTATACTGTAAATTTAAAGAAGCAAATTTTATCAAATCGTGTCCTCCCCGATTGCAAATGCAAAGCTTGAGTATAACTGCAATAAGCATTTTATAATTATATGCCAATCCCGTACAAAGGACGGGTACTCTGCTAGTAGGAAGTATATTGGACATTTACACACAGGAAGTATTTAAAACACAAGATAAAGCAAACAAATTTAATGATTAGAATAAAACTTGACAAAAACAATAAAACTTGACAAAAACAATAAAACTTGAAAAAAACAATAAAACTTGTCAACTTACATCTCTACAACACATTCTTTGTCTTCTTACTGTAAAAAATAGTTTGCAATAGGTATTCAACAGCTTTTCACTTTAGATTTTAGAAAAAATGTAAATTAATGCAATAGGATAGTTAAAAGTACTGAGATTTTGCTTGCAGAAAAACAATAAAAAGGCTCTAGTTTTTTACCTTAGCAAACGGCCGTTATCCGCCGCTGCCGAAATGTCATATCATTACGGCCCATGTCGAACTATAAGGAGTGTCAAACTATCAAAGTGTCAAATTATCAAGGTTCTACGGTTCTTAGGTTTGCTGCTACAGGGAAATGATCAATGTGTTTTTAGTGAAATTTAAATATTTTAGTATGAAATAAATAATTTTGTTAAATTTAATCAAACTATATCGATAAACAGGCAAACTAAGTAGGCTTATACGTTTTAATTAAGCTTCATTGTAATTGGATTATTTTTCTGGGGTTATTACGCTTTAGGACGTGATAGGACAAAATTAGGACAAAAAAGGTTATGTAGTATATAAATTTTAAATAACTTCTTGATCAGCATTGTACGTGTTATTAAAGTATTAAAGTTATTAAAGTACTTTGAATGAAAATTATTGAAATTGTGAAGATCTAGTGTCTGTACTTTTGGCAAACTATTAAACCACGTTTAGATGCCAAGTACCATTTAGGGTACCAGTGACCACAGAAGTAAGTAACTAAGTAAGTTGTATTAAATAGGTTAAGTTAACTTGTTCACAAAATACTCCAAAAGATTATCACTTGTGACTCGCAAGATTATGCTTAAGCCTGTTGAATCTCAAACAATTAATTTACTGTTAAAAACGATTGTTTGGTAACCAGATTAACTTTTTCATTCAGTGTTTCATAATGAAATTGAGATTTTGAAATGTTTTCCAACAATTATTTATTTTACGGTAGGAGGAGCATCAGGAGGCAAATGTGGGGAGAGTTGGGAGTTTGACAGTGGAGCTCGAGACCTTAGTCCAGAGCCGAACACCCTGCAGAGACTGGTGGAAGCTGCTGGCTGTTCCCTTACTGCTACTAACACTGCTAGTCTGCTGCAGCTGGCAAACAAGGTTAGTCAATCAATAAGGTCAAAAACCAGCTTCCTATCGGGAACTAGCTGTTACCACAGATGGCACAGTTAGACCTAGACCCAGGAATGATTTGCTTTTTAATTTTGAATAAATAAAATAACTTATTGCTTTTATTTGAAGCAAACTTACTGATAAGATGATGCATCAGCATGAAAGTTATTATATGAAAGATCTATATAGGTAAACATTAATTATATAGTCAAAATAAGAGAATATTTATTACACAAGAAAGAGATTTATTTGCATGTGCCAATCTGACTGTTTGGTGGATGTTACGACATAACCATTCATGTTGGAAACGAGCATTGAACCTAAAATTTAATCAGAGGATACAGCTTACCGCGAATCACAGGTCCAAGAAGCCAGCTTTAATACTTAACATTTAAATGGCTTTGATGAATGGTAACATTAATTAAATGTTAAATTAAAAATGTGTCTAAGGAATGTCGGCCTTAGTCACTAACAAGATTACAAGATCGCGCCACTCATCCTACACTCAACTCCATTCATACTTGGCTTAAAATACCTACTTTGTATGATCGCCATTTAATAAGAAAGTACCTTTAATTGACTCTGAACTTAAATTGGACATTCAAAATTATTCGGCCTGAAATAAATAAATTAAGGAATTTAAAGTAACTTATGATTTAACCACCATACCTCACTGGGGCCTTACCCAATGCGTACCAATTTAAATGCCAGTACTTCTTTAAAAACCTTAAACCATGGCTAAAGTAATGCTAAGCAGGAAGTTAATGTTTCCAATTTAACTCAACTCATCTACTAATTACTTCACAAATAAATCTCAAGTTTACATTTAAACATGGGTTTAAGGGACGTGGATTATGATCACCAATAAAACTCAGTATTAAATTTAGTACCTTTAACAAATCATAAACTTGTTGTATCTTAATTTGTACGAGAGGTCGTCCAGTGGTCGAAACTCGACCAAAAATATGTAATGTAAACTTACTCACTTCTCTATTTTCACCCCACACTTTAAATAAAAATAAAACATGTGATTGGAGTTTCTTCCATTTGTTTTGATTTTCTGTTTATGTTTCGTTGTTATTTCGTCACCAGCATGGCAACTCATAATATCCATGTTAAATTTTTCAAAATTTTAAAATTCATTTTTTGTGCTTATTTTGAGCCTATTTTAATTTATAAAGGGATTCTGCACACCTACAGGAAAATAGCTTTCTAACAGTATGCGTAGATTTTCCCTACGATGCACACGAGCTGAGAAAAAAGGTTTTAAAGAAACATGCTTGCCTATTAATATATAGATTCTTCACAAAGGCATGATGACTAGGCTATTACTCGTAATCGAGATATATCGTAATGATTTTCTTAGTTAACAAAAATGTCATCATCTTCTCCTGCGATGGCGATAAAATCCTGAATGTTCCAATCGAAAACATTATCAATGTCTTGATCATGGAAAAATCCTGAATATATCCTGCGGCTGTGTGGTCATCATCATCGTCTCCCGCGGTCACTGAAACTTTATCATCGTCATACACGATCTCGGCAAAATCCTGAATATCTCCCCCGTCGTGTGGTGATTATCATCGCGATCGTGGCAAAATCTTGAATATTTCAGGCAGTCGTGTGGTCATCATCATCGTCTCTAGCAGCACAGAAAACATACTACTATAACCCAGAATGCCAACCGCATGGTAAAAAGCATTAAGTGTTTTGAGAGAGCTTTGCCTGTCAATTCATAGGCAGCGCCACCAGCGTTGCTATGCTGAGTGCACGGTAACGCTGCCTAGGAATTGACAGGCAAAGCTCTCTCAAAACGCTTAATGCTTTTTACCATGCGGTTGGCACTCTGGGTTATAGTAGTATGTTTTCTGTGCTAGCAGTCATAAAATCTTTATCATTGTGATCTGCGATCGCAGGATCATCCTGAATATCTCTGACAGTTGTGTGGTCATCATCATCGTCTCCAGCGGTCATGGAAACGTTATCATCATCATCCGAGATCCTGGCAAAATCTTGAATATTTTTTGCAGTTGGTCATCATCGTCGTTTCCCACGATCACGGAAATGTTATCATCGTCTTCCGAGATCGCGGAAAAATCATGAATTTTTCCCGTGGTTGTGTGGTCAACATCGTCGTCTCCCACAGTCTTTGAAATGTTATCATTGTAATCTGCAGTTGGAGAAAAATCCTGGATATCATTTGAGTTGATTTAAAACTAAATTGATAATTTAATTTATAGTGTCTCCTTGATCTTTCTTTGAGGCTTTGTAAATTTCTTATTCCTCTACATCATCCATAGAGTGGCATTTCTTGCACAGGGTGTCTACCAACCGGGAATCCCGGGAAAACCAGGAATTGTAACTTAATTTTGGGCTGGCCATAAAATGTACGGGAATTGTCCTTAAATGCCAGATTATGGCCGTAAATGTATAATGGCTCTGGAGTTTCCCCATGTTAACCTTATGAATATTTAAATGCAACTAAACAATTTGATTCTGTGATAATCAATATCATTAAAAAGTTAATATGTTTTCCAACAGAGTGCAGCACTATTAAATTGTTTATGACATCGGGTAATTTGTACCAAGCAGAAACAAAAAGTTGTGATACATGGAATGGATGGATTTTTTACAGTTATGTTTAATTGTTTATGTAGCCAGTTAATACTAATAGTAAATTAATAAAAGTCCATCTACATACAGCAGATCTAGGGAACATATAATTGTTCTCTTTAGCGTTCTCAAGCTGCTTGCCATTATTTTCAAGGAACCAAAATTGTCTCTTCTGCATCTTGACCCCTTTGCAAGGCATGGGTATAGCGGCTAATATATATATATATACATATACATATATATATATGTGTGTGTCCGTGAAACAAGATAAAATACCCCCGTCGAAGCAAACCTGCATACTAAGAGAATTTCCATTCACCCGGCTTGATTTCTACTAAAATATTCCCTATAAATTTTCAGATTTATTTCCTATTTAAATAACATTAATTTTAGTGAGTAGTTAGGTTTGCTGCTACGGGAAAGATGTTGAGGTGTGTTTTTTTCAATTGAAATATTGATAGCTTAGTATGAAATAAGCCAAATTGCCAAATTTGAGTGAAATATATCCATAAACAAGCAAACTAGAACAGTTTATTTATTCTCCATAAGAATAACATGGGAATTTTAAATTTACAATTTCTTAAATTTTCTCCGTAGTCAATGAACATTCAAAAAAACTTCAATATACTAAATTATTAGTTTTTTTAAGCTCTTCAAAATGGTCTAGAGAGAAATTTAGAAATTTAAAGTTTTTAGGGTCAAAAATGAGAAAAACCCATTTTTACCCCATAAAACCCTCCATAAACCCCTGATCCCATGGTCCAATTATGCTGGTTCGCGAACTCGTTTGAATAAATGTAGGTTTACACGTTTGTACCAAATTTTATCAAAATCGGATCAATTTTGCTCGAGTTATCGCGCTAACGGACACATATATAAATATATATGAATTTGAACGGATGGTGTTTTTGGCCTCTGGGGACCTCAAAACGAAAAAGTAAATCGGTCCCGGGTCTAGGTCTTACCATGAGACCTACGGTAATAGTTCAATAATTCAATAGCTAATAATTCAAATTCAAATAACATTAGGTTTAACGATTACCTAGGTTTGCTGCCTACAGGGAGGGTAATAAATTGTGTTTTTTAGTAAAATAATAATAGCTTAGTATAACATGAATAGATTTGCCAAATGTAATTAAAATATCTATACTTATTTAATACTCAAGCAGGATTTTTGTGACAATTACTCCTACGAAACTACTGAACCGATTGACATGTTTTTGGTCTCATCGGAAAGAGCGTAACGTGAAGTTGTGCAGGAAACTATCTTTTTAGGGAAATAATTAGAGAGTGAGGCCCTGGGGCCCTTTAAAGTTTCGTATTTCTCCATAAGATTAACATGGGAAACAAAAATTGTTTTGAATCTCCAGCTGTTGTCAAAAATTAAAAGTGAGAATAAGAACACATGTTGTAAACCGTCAATAAGTTTGCTAATTTAACCAGCGAGCACATTGTTTGCTGAATTTAACAGTTTGCTACAAACTAGGGATGGACGGGATTGAATTTTTAGTTCGGGACGGGACGGGACGGGATTTTTATTTCCTTCCCGATTTTCGGGACGGGACGGGACGGGATTTTTTTCTGTGCAAAAAAAGAAAGTACTGTATTGCAGTTACCAAAAAAGACATACGAAATCAATTTTTACCATTTGTGGCAATGATCTATAAAAACCAAAAAATGGGTAACAATTTACAGGTACCTATAGAAACTTGTGACTCGCGGTTCACGGGGTGATCGTCTATATGACTCACGGTCACGGCGCGATCGTCGTCATGACTCGCGGTCACGGCGAGATCGTCGGTATGACTCCGCGGTCACGGGGTTATCGTCTGTATGACTCACGGTCACGGCGCGATCGTCGTCATGACTCGCGGTCACGGCGCGATCGTCGGTATGACTCCGCGGTCACGGGGTGATCGTCTGTATGACTCACGGTCACGGCGCAATCGTCGTCATGACTCGCGGTCACGGCGCGATCGTCGGTATGACTCCGCGGTCACGGCACGATCGTCGTCATGACTCGCGGTCACGGCGCGATCGTCGGTATGACTCCGCGGTCACGGCGCGATCGTCGGAATGACTCCGTGGTCACGGGCTTATCGTCGGTATGACTCCACGGTCACGGCGCGATTGTCGTCATGACTCGCGGTCACGGCGCGATCGTCGATATGACTCACGGTCACGGCGCGATCGTCGTCATGACTCGCGGTCACGGCGCGATCGTCGGTATGACTCCGTGGTCACGGGCTTATCGTCGGTATGACTCCACGGTCACGGCGCGATCGTCGTCATGACTCGCGGTCACGGCGCGATCGTCGGTATGACTCCACGGTCACGGCACGATCGTCGTCATGACTCGCGGTCACGGCGCGATC